ATGACATCCGCATGATTAACAGTTATTACATCCGCATGATTAACAGTTATTACATCCGCATGATTAACAGTTATTACATACGCATGATTAACAATTATTACATCCGCATGATTAAAAATTATTACATCTGCATGATTAACAGTTATTACATCCGCATGATTACCAATTATGACATCTGCATGATTAACAATTATGACATCCGCATGATTAACAGTTATTACATCCGCATGATTAACAGTTATTACATCCGCATGATTAACAGTTATTACATCCGCATGATTGACAGTTATTACATCCGCATGATTAACAGTTATTACATCCGCATGATTAAAAATTATTACATCCGCATGATTAACAGTTATTACATTCGCATGATTAACAATTATTACATCCGCATGATTAACAGTTATTACATTTGCATGATTAACAGTTATTACATCCACATGATTAAGTTATTACATCCACATGATTAACAATTATTACATCCACATGATTAACAATTATTACATCCACATGATTAAGTTATTACATCCACATGATTAACAATTATTACATCCACATGATTAATAATTATTACATCCACATGATTAAGTTATTACATCCACATGATTAACAATTATTACATCTACATGATTAACATTTATTACATCCACATGATCACCAGTTATTACATCCACATGATTAACAATTATTACATCTACATGATTAACATTTATTACATCCACATGATCACCAGTTATTACATCCACATGATCACCAGTTATTACATCCACATGATTAATAATTATTACATCCACATGATTAATAATTATTACATCCACATGATTAACAGTTATTACATCCACATGATTAATAATTATTACATCCACATGATTAATAATTATTACATCCACATGGACACAGTTAAATAAAAGACACACAAAGTTGTGTCAAAGATACATTTAACAGGAACAGATTCAGCCTTACTGGAGGATATAATAAATAGTGTAACACACAGAGCTTTTATTTATTAACAGATAGAATTTTCTGATGACGAGTGACTCATCAGCCGTTTTGAGGGAAAATCATTTTTCAGTTTGGCACTGCTGCGCTCTGGGAGCGCGACACACTGGTGCGCGTGCAGCAGCAGTGATTGAACTGGGCTTCCACAGTGGTGTGGCATGCAGACCTGCTGTGCACCATCGCAGGGAGGAGCTTCCAGAACGATGGGAAGGAGGGGTGGGGTGGCAGATAGTACCAGAGATGGATTGATGGTGGAGGATTGACAGTTCAGACTCAATACAGACAAGAAGCAGAGCAAAGAGAGGAGCTCAGCTGGACGCTCCATCTTTAGGGTGGAGGAGGGGATTGGGGGGGTGCATGTGTTGAGTTGGGGGGTTTGCAGGGGTGGGGTTGGGAATTAAAACCATGCCTTCGATCCATCAGCAGGGTCGGTCTGGACGTGGAGGCAGCGCAGCAACATGTGGAAAGAGTTTATGACCTAGTTTTCATTTCCTTGTTTAATACGATTCTGGCTGATTGAAGTGCGAGGAGAAAGAAAGGAAGTGAGGGGAACGGAAAAGAGATTAGGAAAGAGAGAGAGAGAGAGTTTCACCTCCTTGTTTTAATCAAACAAAGGAAGAGGCTGGGTGAAACATTACAATTGAAATCCTCATTCCCTTCCTGACTCACTTATTTTCTGTAATTACATCACTGCAAGCATCTCCCCCTGCAGTGATGAGCCTTGACTGATGGACAGCATCACACGAGGGAAACCTCGTGACATTAAATTAAACATGGGGTCTGTTCCATCTGAGAGATTTCAAAGTGCTGAAGCCAAGTCCTGCTGAAAGCAGAGCGCTGGAAGTGGGTCACTGTAACACAGGAAGTGACCCCGTCCTTCCACTGAGACTCAGAACGGAGGGGGCAGGTGGGAAAACCCACCGGCTTATCGGCTACCTTTTCCTGTTGTTCTCTGCTCTGCCATGACAGCATTGTGTGTCCAGTTTCAAGCTGGGCCGCTCTTTCCTGTCAGACTCCAGGTCCAGTCCAGATTATCTTCAGTCAAGGGAAACAATTTCTGCCAGATGCAACTTTGTCTGCTGCTAGGATGGCAGTTCTGCAGGAAATATTTGGGTTTTCAAAAAATATATGTATCTGGCTGATGATTGTTTTGAGCAGGAACAAAATGTGTTTTATAAAGGTGTTCATTGACAGAGGTGACTCCAATGCTAATGACAAAGTTCTAAACAAAAAACTTGTGATTAATTTGAGCTCAGAGAACTGTTTAGGTATGACTCACAGCTACCACCACATCAGATTTTAAAGGGATCCCCGATTAGTTGTAACATTAGACTTTGTTTAAGAAACATACTTTAACTGTAAAATAAAACTGCAAAAATACTGTTGGATGTTTAGTTTTTCATCACACATTACACGGACGGGGCCATTTTATTTACATGCAAAGCATTCTGGGTAAATGATGACGTGAATAGGTCCTCGGTGCGAGGCTGCTAGCGAGCTATATCCACCCTGAAGGTTAATCTTGGACAATATCTGATGATCGACTCTTTTAAATGAAACCAGAGAGCGTTGACAGAGAGGAGAAGGTAGAAATGACTCAGCCTGGAACTGAAAATATGGATGGAGGACAACAGGTTAGCTTGTTTGTCGCACTAGCACCAAGCTAATACATATAAGGCAATATAGCGTCAGCGCTAGCGCGAAGGCTAACAGGCTAAGCTGAGGTTTTTCTTCCATGAAGCAGCTCTGTTCATTTTTGCTTCTACTTTTCATTTAAAATAAGTTTCCATTCTCAGCAGGTTTCTAAGGTTCTTCTTCTACATATTAAAAAGTTGTTAAACATCTGAGTGGTGCACTACTGCTACTAGTGGTGAGAAAGTGTATTACACTTTATTCAAAATCAATGCAGTCCTGTGGCCCTCTGTGGCCCAAAGTTAAAAACTGTTGTTCTTTTGAGGCCCTCAAGGTGGCGCTCTGCTGCGGCCCATAGGTTAAGAATCTCTGCTCTAGGACGTTCTGGTTTTCCCCACCAGTTAACATGCCTTTTGTCTGTTTCCTTTCTGGCAGGTCTGTTCCTGATCCTGGGTCTCATGTTGTACCCCGCTGGCTGGGGTTCAGATAAGGTCCAGCTGTTCTGCGGTCCAGACGCGGCTCCGTACCGGGCCGGGCTCTGCTCCATGGGCTGGGCTTTCTACACTGCCATGGGCGGCACCGTGCTCACCTTCATCTGCGCCGTCTTTTCCGCTCAGGCTGAGATCGCCACCTCGAGTGACAAGGTCCAGGAGGAGATCGAAGAGGGCAAGAGTCTGATCTGCCTCCTCTGAGGCTTCGGCAACAATCGGAAAGAGAAGGAGAATGAAAGTGAGGCAGGTTAAAGGGAGGGTCTGGACACTTTGGAAGTTGTGTTCTGTCAAATAGTTATCAATTGTTAGTGCCTTAGTGACATATCCAGGCTAGGCTAATGGGTTAGCCAAACAAAGACTGTCTTTTGTTTACACTCATAAGCTAACCTTTCTTAGAAATAACATCAGTGTGAAAGAATGCTTCATTAGCTAATATTAGACTTCTGCATGACAATAGCTGTGTTTCCATTGACCATGAAAATGCACAAATTAGAATTTAGAAAATAAATTTGCTCAATGGAAACACGTCAATTTCGGAAAAAAATTTACGTTTTTCGACAAAATGTTTTTACACTAGGATGAGGTGGTTTTTCAGTCGTATCAAAATTGGTGTTTTTCACAAAACTTCAATGGAAACACTTTTTTCACATCACAGGAGTCACGTGATCAACAACCGTCTGTTTCTACTGGTGAAAAAGACGATGATGAAGAAGATAACAGGAAGTAGAAGTAGTAGTAATATCACAGAAGTAGGCTGTGTCCAAAACAACAGGCCAGGTCCTCCGGAGGACC